GATACCAGGCAACCCACCAAAGAGAAGTGCAGACTGACTCCAGCATGGCAATCTATCTAAGCCTGGCTGTAAATGCTCCCCAGATCCTTCGTCCTAATGGCTTTTTGATCAACCAGTGCTGCCTCCTTGCTCAACCCTCATAAAACCCAGCTTCTGTCTCAGCTGGAACACACAGTCTCCAAGCCTGCGGGAAAGTTGTGTCCCTCGGTGCTCTATCTCAATAAACAGTCCTCACCTGTGGAAGTTGAGTCCCGCCTGTTTCCTTCCATGTTCCTAACAATATGTCTTTCTATTTATGGTGTTCTTATAGACAACTGTAGAAGTAAATTTATTTAACTAAGACATCTCAAAGTTAAACCTTCATTAAACACCACGGGGCAATGGCTGGACACACAAAGTCATGCTTCTAAACTCACAGAGAGATCATGAGAAAGGGAACTGTTAGGTAAGTACAGATAAAATGTGAAAGACCTATTGTTATGGAAAATTAGTCTGCCAAGAGACACTCAGAGAAGTAGGAGAACTGATATTATGCCAGGGGGCCCAAAGCGGTTTCTTCTCCAAACTCAAAGCCCTGGCTCCAAAATATATAGGGTTTAAGTAAGGAGTTTTAGGTTGGGGGACAGGAGGAGGGATGTAGATGTGGGGAAATTTTGTTGGTTAAGGTTGCAGTTTTCTGAGAAAATAGAGCTCACACTCTGGGGTCAAGAGATACCAATAGGAATTTAAAGCCATCTGGGGTTCAAGAGATAACTGGCAATTTACAACCACTGCACTCCTAGGATTCAGTGATTAACAGCCATCTTGGCAGTTTCCCACAATTCTAGGGGATCTTGGAAGGTAGCACCAGCCATGGCTTTTATTTAGAATTCACATTTTGATAGATCTGGGAACTACCTGTATGTTGTGTTTTACCCCCCCTCCCCAAAGCACTATCACATGGCTGATAACAAGTGTACCCTTTTGGCATTTCTTGTTGCCATAGTGTCTTGGGCTTTTGTTCAAAGACTTCTTTTCATAAATGCCCAAGGTTTCTTCTTAATGAAAAGAGCCAGAGCAATGCATATACAAGTCATCAAGCAATCATTGCAAAGCCCAGGTGAACAGATCTGGGAGGATTGTAAACCCCCTCCTCCCCCACACTATAAGAAGACTCCATTATCCTCTTTGGGCCTTTTTTTTTTTTTGTCGGTCATGGGGGCCTGAACTCTGGACCTGGGCACTGTCCCTGCACTCTTCAGCTCAAGGCCAGCGCTCTACCACTTGAGCCATAGTGCCACTTCTGGTTTTCTAGTGGTTTATTGGAGATAAGAGTCTGGGGGGTGGGGAGTGGGAAGGGATGGGAAGGGGAAACAAAGGAGGAGGCAACAATGCTTGATAAGAAATGTACTCATTACCTTGCTCATGGAATTGTAACCCCTCTGTACGGTATTTTCACAATAAAAATAAAAAAGAAAAAAAGAAAAATAAATAAATTAATTAAAAAAAAGAGTCTCACGGAGTTTCATGCCCGGGCTGCCTTTGAACCGAGAGCCTCAGATCCCAGCCTCCTGAGTAGCTAGGATTACAGGCATGAGCCTCTGCTACTTTTCTTTTTGGCTTTTCACTTTCCCTCCTCACCAGTTTTCCACCAGTCTTTATTTCCTTCTCTGCCCGGGGGTTTATAGGCCATGGGAATTTTCTTTATCCACTCCAAGTCTTCTTGGGAGTACTGAGGCTCAGGAGGCAAAGCTTGTGGCCCTGGGTCTACTAGAGTCAGTACTTCCGCTTTGGGCTGGAGGGCCGCCTCCTTAGTTGGCTGATTGGCCAACTTATTTCCTTTGGTTATTGAATCCATTCCCTTTTGATGGCCAGGGCAGTGCATAATGGCAATATTTGCTGGTTCCCAAAAGGCCCGGATGAGGCTTAAAATTTCTTGTTTGTTTTTAATATCCTTTCCCTCAGCTGTCAGCAGCCCCCTCTCTTGGTAAATGGCTCCATGCACAGTGGCAAAAGCATACCGACTGTGTGAATGTTTAGTCTCTTCCCTTTTCCCATTTGTAAGGCTTTTGTTAGTGCCACTAGTTCTGCTCTTTGTGCAGACATTCCCTGGGGGAGTGCTGCTGCCCACACTATCTCAGTGTCCGTGGTGACTGCTGCACCCATGTACCTTTTTCCATCTCGAATAAAACTGCTGCCATCTGTGAATCAGGTATACTCAGCATGCGATAGTGGCGAGTACAAGTCTGGCCTCTTTTCCTTGGCTCGGTCTCTCTTTTCATGCTCAATTTCATGTTCTCTGTCTTTCCTTTCTTGTCTTTGCTCCTCTGTCTCTCTCTTACTGCAAACCTTTTCCACTGTGGCTACTAGATCCCTAATAGACTTTTCACCAAGTTTGTCTAGAGCCTGCAACTTTCTCTTTATGTCTGGTGCAGCTTGATTTATATAGGCAAACATAATCATCCGAGCCAACTCCTGGGTCTCAAGATCATATGGGGTGAAAGACCCCAGACTCCTAGGGTACTTTCGTCTACGGGAGGGCGCCCCAGAAACCAAGACTCCAAACCAGCAGATGCAATAAGCAAGAGGAATTTATTTGGCGTTTGCGCAAACGGACTCTCTGCCCTGGTCAGTTAGAGAGCCCCGAGCAGCGGTTACAAGCATTTTTAAAGGCAAAAACCACAGGATTAGCATAAGACACCAGGTGCTCCAGGATTGGCCCAATTTAAAAATCACCATGTACTCCAGCAATCATTTTGTCACGCAGGAAATTTTGTAACACTCGTCGTAAACTGGTTGGCTCAGGGCAAATCTAGGGGGAGCGGTCACCCTGGAGGGGAGTTCACATAGTTACAGGCTTGTGATTGGTTGACATTTGACCTAGTTTGCTGGACTGGCCAGATGGTCCTTATCTTGGGTCCCATTTGGGGAATTTCCAAACAGGAACTTAGAAGAACATACTCGTTTGTTCTTTATCTAAGACTGCAGACCTTGTCCCAGGGCCGGCATCTGGACTCTGAAACTTTTTACTTATTTCCAGGGAGGGGAAGGGTCAGTGCTAGCACAAGCAAGTTTACAGAAGCAAAATCAGCAGTTAGCAATTGTAAAATGTAACTCTAATTTTTAATCTTTCATTCCCTCCTTTTTCTTTGGACTAATTTTAATCTTAAAATTTAGGGTATTGTTGGGTTAATACCATGGCCTGTATAATGGATAGCCTTTCTCGGATAAACTGTAACAGCCTGTTGAGAATGCAGGGGCCAAAAGTAAGAAGCAAAAGTAAGACGATGATGGGCCCTGCTATCGCAGACAGCAATGTGGTGAGCCAGGGGGATTTGGACCACCAATTTTTAAACCAACTGGCTCTGGCGGCCTTTTCCCATTTTTGCTCCTCCAGTCGTTTACGAAGCTTGGCCATGGAGTCACGCACTACCCCGGTGTGGTCAGCATAGAAGCAACATTCTTCTTTTAGGGCCGCACACAATCCTCCATCTCTAATGAAAACTAAGTCTAGGCCTCTTTGATTTTGAAGCACAACCTCGGACAGGGAGGTGAGGGAGGTTTCCAACGCAGAGATGGATTTCTCTATCCCCTTTAAATCCTCTGCTATAGCGGCCTTTAGCTGTTTCATGTGTTGGTACCCTTCCACATAAGCAGCACTCCCCACTCCTGCCCCCGCTATGCCGGCTGCTGTTCCCAATCCCATGAGGACAGCTAAGGTTATGGTGACAGGTTCCCTTTTGTATTGGTGGGTCAGGCCCTCCACCTGTTCTTCAAAAGATGGGGAGTCATGATATATAACCCGAGGGTACAGATGTACTAGAACACAGAAACCAGCATGGCTTATCAGCATTGGTGAGACACAAGGGGTCAAGTTGGTGTTACAAGCCCACCATCCCCCGTCTGTGGGTACTAGGTATTTGCCTGTAATAGCCGCAACCTTTTCTGTGTGGGCACAGAGCTGGCTCTTTTCAGGAGGTGGTGTACCAAGGCATAGTCCCTGTCCTCATACCTCAGATAAAGTTAGTTTGCTGGCACCTTGCCATCCCCAGGGGCATGAGTCAGTGTTGTGGTAGGTACCGTTGTAGGCTGTTCCTTCATAATAAGGGGGTGCCTCAGAAAGGCAGAGCCAACAGGACTGAGTGAGGTCGCTTTTGGTGGATTTGAAGGCAGAGTAGGCTCCCTTAATCAGATTGTATAAGGGGGGCATCAGAGGCGCACCTGGGTCGGTGGTGGCCCACGGGAGGGGGCGGTTGGGTGGCCGGTTTTGGAAAAGGGGCCTTTTCTTCAGGGCGGGGTTAGGTCCTAAAAGGAGGGGGTTTATGCTTTCCAACATATCCGAAGGCTGATAGTCATAAGTCTGCCATCGTCATAGTCCCGTGTGCACAGCCTAATCCCCCAGGTAAGTCCGGTCCCCCAGCCCAAGTTAGGCACTTTTCCCTTAGCAGTGAATTTTACAGTAAGTCTTACGCACCACTGGTAGCAGTTTTCGTCTGTACAGCTCCCTTTTCCCCCTGGCCCACTGGTCCTCTTGACCGTTATGTAGTCCCAGGAGGAGGAGGGGTTCCAGTAGGTGTCACCAGTGGTCTCGCAGTCCCAGGCTTTACAAAAATACTCTTCTTCCCTCCCGCATTTGTATATGAGGGAGGGGTCCCGATGTGTGCCTGGACAGGCATAGATCGGGAAGCCTTCCCCGGCGCCTGACCCCCAAAGTGCTGCGAGCCTACTAATAATAGGTACGCAGAAGTTTGGTTCTATGTTGGGCCACCATGTCCAGAGAGGGGCTACATTGGAGGTAGACCAAATCACACCCCCATGCTCATTTACTACCTGCCACGTCTGGTTTTGGGGAAAGTGTGGGTTTATGCCTGCGAGGGGATGGACTCTCTGTCCCCCCGCTACTGTCAAGGTCACAGCAGCAAGGAATATTAAACAGTTTTTAAAAATCTTATCTTGAGAGGGTTTTGAGTGCGCTGCAGCTTCCATTTGGATGGCTCGGTGGGGTCCTTGCTGTCTCCATGCTAAGCACGCTTGACGTGGGAGGCGTGTATCCAGGCGGCGCTCCCGTCTACCTTTAGCGAAGTAGGTGTGGTCAGCAGCACACTGTATGGGCCCTTCCACCGTGGCTCGAGGGCCCTGGATTGGTGTCTCCTCACGTACACCTCGTCACCAATCTGGAAGGGGTGTGGGAAGGTAGAACTCCCAGCTGTGTAAGCAGCGGCCATGGGTTTCCACACCTGTCTCTGGATGAGTTGCAGAGCTCGCAGCCACGCCTGTAAACTTTGGGTATTTGCAAAAGAATCAATGGCAGGGTCAAGGAAATCTGCTATGGGAGGGGGTCCCCCATATAGGATTTCGTAGGGAGTCAGTCCATGGCTTGCCGGAGTGTTCCGAGCTCTAAACAGGGCCATGGGAAGGAGTTGGACCCAGTCTTTAGTGCCAGTTTCTATGGCTAATTTAGTTAGGGTCTCTTTGATTGTTCTGTTCATCCGCTCTACCTGTCCTGAACTTTGGGATCTATAGGCACAATGTAATTTCCAATCTATCCCCAAAAGCTTGGCCACCATCTGACTTACCTGGGAGAGGAAAGCAGGACCATTATCTGATCCTATTACCTTAGGGAGCCCAAATCGAGGAAAAATCTCTTCCAAAATCTTTTTGACTACCACTTGTGCTGTCTCTTGTTTGGTGGGGAAGGCTTCTGTCCAGCCGGAGAAGGTATCTACAAAGACTAGGAGATATTTAGCTCCGTATTTGCCAGGCCTGATTTTGGTTGGTGCCGGGTCATTCTCCTCTCATTCTGACTCTGGCGGGTGCTTGGAATCGGCCTGCATTAACCTTGGCGCAGGGAACACAAGAGTCTATAACCTGCTTAATTATGCCCGATAGATCTGGAATGTAATGAAACTGCTCCTCTCTCTGTAAAAGAGTCTCTAGCTTTTTGTAACCCAAGTGGGTCCACCTGTGCAGGTAGGTGACCAGCCTCCTCACATCCTTCTGAGGCAATATAGTCCTATTTTCATATTCCCAAGTCCCGATCGAGTCATTAAAGGTTGCCTTTAGCTTTTTGGCCATCTCTATGTCCTGATCTGAATACTGGAAGAGAGGTTGTTTGCTTGGCTGTCGTTCTCGGGATGTGGCCAAGGCAAGGGTTTGGTTTTGTAAGGCCACCGTCTTAGCAGTCTCATCTGCCATCCTGTTCCCTACCACTACAGGGTCCCTCCCCACCTGGTGACCCGGACAATGGATGTTGCTCACCTTTTTAGGTAGGAAGAGGGCCTGCAGGAGGTCTAGGATTTCCTTTTTGTTTTTATTGTCTTTTCCCGCCGAAGTTTACAGGCCTTGCCTCCGATAAATCTCTCCATGGACATGTGTGGTAGCAAAAGCATACCGGCTGTCTGTGTAAATGTTGACTTTCTTTCCCTGGGCCTCTGTCAACGCCTGCGTCAGGGCGATGAGTTCAGCCCTCTGCGCTGAGGTTCCAGGCTCTAGGGCCAATGCCCAGATGACTGTGTTCCCATCTACCACTGCTGCCCCCGCCTTTCGCTCACCGATATGCAGGAAACTGCTCCCATCCATGTACCAGGTGTGTTCAGCATCTGGTAGGGGTTGGTCTGTCAAGTCCTCACGGGTCCCGTGCACTTCCGCCAGGATTTGATGACAATCATGTTCGATGGAGAGGTGAGAGTCCAAGTCCGGGAGTAGAGTTGCTGGGTTGAGAGAGACCGTGGCCCCGAACCGAATCCGGTCGGGATTTAACAGCATTGCTTGGTAATGGGTGATCCGAGCGTTTGAAAGCCAACGGTCAGGGGACTGGCAAATAACTGTCTCTATGGCATGGGGGCCGTCACCATCAAGGGCTGTCCCAAGGTTAGTTTATAAGAGTCTTTTACCAACACGGCCACAGCTGCAATGATACGGAGACATGGGGGCCATCCGGCCGCCACACTGTCCAGTTTTTTTGAAAAGTAGGCCACCGGTATTTTCCAGGGCCCTAATTTTTGGGTCAAAACTCCTTTTGCAATTCCCTGTCGTTCATCCACATATAAAGTGAATGGCCTGGTCACATCCAGGAGGCCCAAAGCCGGAGCTGATAATAAGGCCTTTTTGATTTGATCGAAAGCTTGTTGTTGCTCTTTTTCCCACCAAAAGGGGGCATTGGCCCTGGTAAGGGGATACAGAGGGGCTGCCAATTCAGTGAATCCTGGTATCCACAAGCGACAAAATCCAGCACTTCCCAAGAACTCCCTCAGGGCCTGTGCGCTTGTGGGCGGCGGGATCTGGGTGATGGCTTGTTTAAGACTCTCTGTTAGCCACCTCTGCCCTCCTTCCAGCTTACAGCCTAGGTAAGTCACTTGCCTGCACAAATTTGGGCCTTTTTGGCTGAGGGCCTGTACCCTAACTCCCCTAGCCTCTTTAAAAGGGCCCCCGGTACCTTTTAGACAGTCATCTACATACTGTAGGAGCTAGGAGCAGGTCATCTACATACTGTAGAAGAGTGAACTGAGGATGGCTGACTCTGAAATCGGCCAGGTCCTGATATAGAGCCTCGTCAAACAGGGTCGGGGAGTTTTTGAATCCTTGTGGTAATCTCGTCCACGTGAGCTGTCCTGAAAAACCTGATTCTGGATCTCACCACTCAAAAGCAAAGATTGGCTGACTCTGAGGACTTAGTCTCATGCAGAAGAAGGCATCTTTTAAATCTAGCACTGTAAACCATGTGTGGCTCGCGGGCAGCATACTTAGTAAATTGTAGGGATTAGGCACCTTAGGATGCTGGTTTACTTCTCTCAAGTCCTGCACCGGACTGTAGTCTCCCATCCTGGGCTTTTTGACAGGCAATAAGGGGGTGTTCCATGGAGATTGGCATGGTTTTAGGATGCCCAATTGTAGCAGCCTTTGTATATGCAGCCTAATTCCATTCTTGGCTTCCCTGCTTAGTGAATACTGAGGTATCATCACCGGGGTAGCTGAGGGCTTAAGTCCAATGACCAGGAGAGGCTGGTTTGTAGCCAGTCCCATTCCCGCTGTCTCCGCCCAAGCCTGGGGAAAATCTGACAACCACTGGGGGTCTATTGAGGCTGGCTGAGGGCTTTCATGTAATCGATATTCATCCTCCAGGCACAAAGTTAGGACTTGGAGGGGCTGTCCTTGGGGTCCCCTAACGGAGGCTCCTTTTTCTTGGAAGTGAATCTGGGCTCCTACTTTTGAGAGGAGGTCCCTCCCCAACAATGGATAGGGGCAGTCCGGAACCAGGAGGAATGAGTGAGTGACTAACCCCGTTCTGAGATGCACTTTCTGCTCAGTCGTCCATGGGTACAGTTTTCCTCCCGTGGCCCCCTGCACCCAGGATGTTTTAGAACTCAGGGGACCTTTTGTTTGGGTCAGGACTGAATGTTGGTCACCGGTGTCAACCAGGAAGGTTACTGGCTGGCCCCCCACTCGAAGGGTTACCTGGGGCTGGGGGGGGGGCTCCTGGCCCTGACTGCCCTAGTCTTCATTATCCTGTAGGGACAATACTTGTGCCGGTCTTCGGGGTCCTCTCATTTGCCCCTTTTTCTTGGGGCAATCCCTGATCCAGTGCCCTATTTTCTTGCAAAATAGACACTGGTCATGGCCTACTTGAGGTCTCTTTTCATCTCCCAGGCCCCTACCTAACCTAGCTCCTCTCTCTTCTGGCTGTCGCACCTTGGTGGCCAAGATTTTACTCAGCTCTTTAGTGCGCCTCTTGTCTCGCTTGTCCTCTCTGTCCTCCTGCTCCTTACGCAGTCTTTCTTCCTTTTCTTCCTGTGTCTCTCTTTTATTAAAAATCTTTTCCGCTTCCTTGACTAAATCCTGCAAGGTATACCCCTGAAGCCCCTCCAACTGCTGTAGCTTAGTCCAAATGTCTGGGGCTGATTGCCTGATAAAGGACATGATATCGGACTGTCTATCTGCAGCAGATGGGTCAATGGGCGTATACATACGATATCCTTCCATCAGCCTCTCTAAAAATCCTGCAGGTGTTTCCTCACCCCCCTGTATTATCTCACGTACCTTGGCCAAATTGGTGGGGCGCCTTCCGGTCCCTTTGAGACCCGCCAACAGAACCTGGCGATAAAGACCGAGCCGTTCCCTACCAACTACCGTATTGAAGTCCCAATTAGGGCGGGTCAACGGGAACACTTCATCCATTTCATTAGGCAACTGCGTCGGTCTGCCATCCTCTCCTGGAACATTTTTGCGAGCTGCTAGGAACACTCACTGCCGTTCCTCCGTGGTAAGGAGAGTCTGTAAGAGCTGCTGACAATTATCCCAAGTGGGCTGGTGGGTTAGCAGAATGGATTCAATCAGGGCTTGAGGGTCTTGGGAAAAGGATGGGTTATGGGTTTTCCAATTATATAAGTCTGAAGCAGAAAAGGGCCAATACTGAACTTGACTGGCCACTGTCCGGAGGGGAAAAGCATGGGCTGTCCAGACCCCCTCGCTCTCCCCACCTCGATCGCGGCAGAGGCATAAACGACTGCTGGGAGGTGGTGAGGCCGCCCGAGGCGGCAGGGGCTCTTGGGGTCCCGTCTCTGGCTCAGTGGAGTCCGGGGAGGGAGCAGGTGGGGAAAGGGAGCCCTCTTGTGAGCCCCTTTGTTCTTCTATCGGAGTGGGCTGAGCATAAGGTGGGGGGGGTCCAACATCGGTGGGGAATCTAACAGTAGCAAATCCGCCTGATTATCAGATAAAACAGGGGGAGGTGAGAAGGGGGAGGAGGAGGCCTTAGCTTTAAACTCGGACAATTCTTTTAGGGGGTAGAGGGAGGATGAGGGTGGAGGAAGAGGGGCAAGGGGAGAGGACAGAGGCAGGGGTATGGGTGGAGAAGGGGCAGAAGGGAGAGGGACAAGCAGAGCGGGAAGAGGAACGGGCGAGTGGGAGAGGAAGGGCTCGATCCACTTTGGGGGTCTCGGGCAAGATCCTCCCAAGTGACTATGTAGGGGACCTGATCAGGGTGTCCATGAGGACCTGGCCGAAAAACTCGAGCCTTCACCTGTAAAAGAACATCGAAATTGAAAGAGCCATCCTTTGGCCACTCTACGTTACGAGCAGGCCACTCTGAAGAACAGAAAGTAATCCATTTCTTTTTCCGGACCTCCAGTGACAAGTTGTGGGCCCGGGCTGTAACATCTTTCCAGTGATCTAAAGTAAGACTTAAGGGGGTTGTTAATTGTTGCCCCATCCCTTTAATGGCCACAAAACAAATAACAAAGACACCTAACACTGAACAGAGACAGAAAAACCCAGACAAGCGCTGCGTGGCAGTCAGACGACTGCAAACAGAAAAAGCAACTTCAGATGGGAGTGACCAACCATGGCTAAACTCCCTGGGAAGGAGAGAGACTCAAGTCCCCTCCCTCCTCACGGGAAGGAGAGAGGCTTCAAGTCCCCTCCTTCTTCACCTTACCTCAGGGCACGTCTGCCCGAGATGGGCCAGGGGTTTCAGGGCACATCTGCCTCCCCCACTGGCCTCAATACAGACCCTGCACAGGCACTTTTCTTTGGATCCAAGAGTGCAGAACACAGAACACAGATAACAAACACGGAAGACGCAGGCCGTTAGAGCTCTTTCTTACCTCCAACTGGCCTTGGAATTTGGGTCTAGGGGCACCGTTATCCCGGACGAGCCCCCAACTGAAAGACCCCAGACTCCTAGGATACTTTCATCTATGGGAGGGCGCCCCAGAAACCAAGACTCCAAACCAGCAGATGCAACAAGCAAGAGGAATTTATTCAGCTTCCATGAGCCGCTCAAGATATGCTGCCGGACTTTCACTTCCTCCCTGTCTAACATCATAAACTTTGGCCATATTAGTAGGTCGGCAAGCCGCCACCTTGAGACCTGCCAACAGAGCCTGGCAGTAGACGAAGAGTCGCTCCCTACCTTCAACCGTATTGTAGTCCCATGTTGGTCGGATCTCAGGAAAATAGGCAGCGATCAGGGCAGGATCCGTGATGGGCGCTCCTGTGGGGCCAGGAATATGTTTCCGGGCCGCCTCTTGGATACAGTCTCTTTCTTCAGTGGTAAAAAGTACCTGTAAAACCTGACTGCAAGCATCCCAAGTGGGCTGATGAGTAAAGAGTATAGTTTCAAGCAAACCAATTAAATCCTGGGGTGTCTCAGAAAAGGGGGCATTTTGGGTGCGCCAATTGTATAGATCACTGGTAGAAAATGGCCAAAATTGGAGTTGCTGTTGACTATTCACATCCACAGGACCTATGGCGGGTTGATCCCATGGCGGCATCGAGTAACTGGCCCCTCAGAAACTTTAAGGGCAGGTGCCGAGGGTTCTATAGTTCCCTCTTCCTCTTGATCATTCTCAGGTTCTGCAAAAGGAACCTGGGAAGGGGAGTATGGGGGAGGAAACATTTCTTCTTCCAAGTTATCTCCCTGAAAAACCAGGGGTACCTTTTCTTTTCCTCTTTCTCAGTTTCTTTTTGTAAGTCTAGGGGGCTAGATGGAGTGTTGCCCATTATTTCCAGTCCCGTCAGTCGTTCAGTCCAAAAAACAATAAACAGTACAAACAAGACACACACAGGCCTGACATTATGAAAAAAAAGCTTACTAAGTGGATATCTCCCAAATTGGTCTGCTGACTCCTGTAATGGGACACCCACACCCCACAGCAGAAGGAGCAGACCCACAGTGGGCGAGTTGGGCCTCGGTACCAACCCTCGCCCCACAATTCACACGGGCGAGGTTCCAAGGACCCCTGTCCCACATGACAGGGTTCCAAGGACCCTGCCCCACATGGCGGGGTTCCAAGGACCCCTGACCCACTTGGCAGGGTTACCTCCACCCCACAAGAGGATCTGGGACGTCTCCCAGTTCCTCCAGGGTTGTCGCGCAAGCGCGTCTGCTTCGACAACCCTTTACGGATTGGAGCGGCTGTCTTCACAAGGGAAAACGAAAGTAAAACAGACAAACGACAGGACAAGACAAATTAACAAAGACAGCGCTGTTTTACCTTTGGTGTCTGAGGTCTCGGGGGTCTTTGGGGGATATCCCGGACGAGCCCCCACTAATATGTTATGCCAAGGTCCCAGGACCCCCCCACAAGAAGACCACTGAGAGTCAGACTTTATAGCTGTTTTATTTAAACAGGCTGCAGCTCTGGCCTCGTCCTACACTCCAACACAGCGGAGCCTAGGAGGAGAGCCCCGAGCTAAGCATTTGCAGGTCTTATATAGGCACACAATCAACCAGGTGTTGCTTTGCTAGACAGAAACAAGCAACACGTGGTGGTCACTGCCTCAAACTTTAACCTTTCACTCATTACCTTGCCCATGGAATTGTAACCCCTCTGTATGGTATTTTCACAATAAAAATAAACAAGAAAAAAAAATAAATAAAATTTTAAAAAAGAGTCTCACGAAGTTTCATGCCCGGGCTGCCTTTGAACTGAGATCCTCAGATCTTAGCCTCCTGAGTAGCTAGGATTACAGGTGTGAGCCATCGGCGCCCAGCTTTGGGCCTCTCTTCTGAAGGGGAGTTCTGCTACTTTTCTTTTTGGCTTTTCACTTTCAAATAAACTTCATCTGTTTACCCTAACTTTTTCCTGACTTATAATTCTTTAATGTGTAGAGAAAACAAACCTGCCCTGAGATCAATATCAATGAGGGTGGCTTTTCCTAGAATAACAATCGTGTGCTATTTTTCTCCGTTTTTTTTCCCTCTCAGTATTGTCTAGTAATGTTAGGGAGCAATATTCACTGAGCACTCACTATGTAACTGATATTGTACTAAGTATTCTTTTTCTCCTGTTCCTATTAAAACTGAGATAAAGTAAGCGTTTGTGAACTTTACAAATGAGAGAAAACCAGCTTTCCCGGAAGGACTGTTAATTAAAATATTCCTAATGACACAGCTGATTTGGAGCCCAAGCATGGTGCTGAGTATTTTCCTGTCCTGCTTTTCCTCTCCTACTGTCATTCTCTTAACCCTTTCATTACCGGAAGTCACCTGGACAGGATCTTGAGAGATCAACTCACTTTCTGCAGGCACAGACTGTCACTGAGCTGTCTTCGAGGACTTGCCTTGCCATTGTGGGAATTTGCAAAAGGAGAGATGTGGCTCTCAATTGCAAAAAGATCTTTGTTGGACTGGGAAGGTGGCTCAGTGGAAAGCACTGGCCTTGCATGCATGAGGCCCTGGGTTCGATTTCTCAGCACCACATAAGCAGAAAAAAAAAGCTGGAAGTGGCGCTATGGCTCAAGTGGTAGAGCGCTAGCCTTGAGGTAAAAAGCTGAGGGACAGCGTTCAGGCCCCCCTATCAGACGCCCCCCCCCAACCCCCGCCAAAAAAAAAAGATCTTTGTTTTGTTTTTTTGTCCATCATGGGGCCCGGACTCTGGGCCTGGGCTCTGTCCCTCAGCTCTTCAGCTCAAGGCTAGCGCTCTACCACTTGAGCTAGAGTGCCACTTCCAGCTTTTTTTTTCTGCTTATGTGGTGCTGAGGAATTGAACCCAAGGCCTCATGCATGCAAGGCAAGCATTCTACCACTAAGCCACCTTCCCAGCCCCTGCAAAAAAATCTTTTTAAACAAGACATCTTCCATTTTATGGCTTGTATAAGATGTTCTGGGTAGGTAGAGGATTCTCTGGTCCATTTCTAGGGTTGCCTGAAGCAACTTCTGCCAATCCCTTTCAGCAAGGTCAAAGGCCCTTTCAAAATAGGGAGTGGAGGTAAATCAGAGGGAAAATAGTAACACCTTTAAAGCATTCTGAACTTGCCTCTAATTGAACTAGCTCTTCCTGCTGATTAGAATCTATTTGCATTCATTTTCCAGCAGATGGGTTTCTCTGTTTCCTTGGATGGCAGAGTTCTGCAGCAGGGACTCATTATGCTGCTTCTGCTTGCTGTCTGGACAAAACTAGCCAAAGTGCATTAGACTAAGGAGAAAAGGCCACCGTTTTCTACCTTTTTTCCTTTACTCTTGAAGATTGACTTGGTGGGATTTTGTAGCAATGGCTGGATGGAGAAGATTGGAGAGATCAACTATTTCCACATAGGAGATGAAAGGCTGGTTTGTACTGGTGCACCTGCTTCCATCAAAACACTCAGAAAGCTTTTGAAAACATTAATTCATTCAGCCTCCTGTTGGGCACTGAAGATTCATGATGGCTGGCCTCTTTGTACACAGGAGATGCCATATGAGTTCCTATAACATAACACTGTTGTTTTTTTTTTTTAATTTCTTCATTCCCACAGGATGCATTTTTAGGTTCAGGGGTAGTTTTGAGTTCAAAGGTGATTATTTGCCCAGATGCCCTACAATGGACGAATGGATCAATAATAAGTTGTTTATATATACAAAGCAATTTTACTCACTTCTCAGAAAGAATAATATGCTCAACTGGGTGCTGGTAGCTCACACCTGTAATCCTAACTACTCAGGAGCTGAGATCTGAAAATTGCTGTTTGAAGCCAGCCCAGGCAGGAAAGCCTTAGAGACTCTTATCTCCAATAAACTACTCAGAAAAAAGCCAGAAGTGCCACTATGGCTTGAGTGGTAGAATACTACCCTTGAGCAAAAAGAAGCTCAGGGACAGCACCCAGGCCCCAAGTTCAAGCCCCATGACCCAAGCACATGTATACACACACACACACACACACACACACACACACACAGGAGGGGAGATAATGTCATTTTCAGGAAAATGAATGGACTTAAAATATGTTAAGTGAAGCAAATCAGGCTCAGAGAGACAAATGGTACATGTTTTCCCTCACATGTGGGAACTAGATCTAAAATTCAAACATACATGATAACATATTCGGGGCTATATGATATACACATAAACAATTTGACTAAAGGATGGTATACTTAGGGGAGACGTTTCAGTGGTATAATTCTAAACAACTAATAAACTATTTAACAAAATGAATACCAGGAAATGGAAACTTCCTACTTCCCTTCCTACTTCCATTGCCTGTGACTACATGCTAAATAATTTTAAAGTTATTGATTTGGATAAAATTCTGAATGGGGAGTATAACTCAGTATCTGATTTCTAGCACCAAATGTAATATTAGAAAGAATGATGTCAGGTAAAATGACAAATTTAAATAAGTACCTTCACAGTATGCAAAGTTACATAGTGTTTCACACAGGAATGAGAAAATTAGCACTTCCTGTGTAGAAGCACAGATCTATCAATCAGCCTTTGACAAGGTTTCATC